TGTTGTTGTTGTTGTTGTTGTTGTTGTTGTTGTTGTTGTTGTTGTTGTTGTTGTTGTTGTTGTTGTTGTTGTTGTTGTTGTTGTTGTTGTTGTTGTTGTTGTGTTGTTGTTGTTGTTGTTGTTGTTGTTGTTGTTGTTGTTGTTGTTGTTGTTGTTGTTGTTGTTGTTGTTGTTGTTGTTGTTGTTGTTGTTGTTGTTGTTGTTGTTGTTGTTGTTGTTGTTGTTGTTGTTGTTGTTGTTGTTGTTGTTGTTGTTGTGGTCGTCGTCGTCGTCGTCGTCGTCGTCGTCGTCGTCGTTGTGGTTGTTGTTGTTGGTGGTTGTGTTGGTGGTGGTGGTGGTGGTGGTGGTGGTGGTGGTGGTGGTGGTGGTGGTGGTGGTGGTGGTGGTGGTGGTGGTGGTGGTGGTGGTGGTGGTGGTGGTGTTGTTACTTGACTATATACCCTTGAGTTTGCGGCCATGAGGTTCACCTCCCGGGTGTCGCAGGTCTACCTGGAGCTCACCATCGGCAACTCCACCTGGCCCATCGGCGGTGGGGAGTTCCTCTCCAGCGACGGCCCCCAGCCAGGCGGGAGACCCGCTTTCGACCTGTTGGTTTTCCAGCGGCCCATGTTTATGCCATTTGGCTGTGGGTCAAAACCGTTTTGGTATCCCACTTTGGGGTAGGTGAATTCACCACCCATTTTAGAACCTATTTTAGTGGTTGGATTGAATCGGATGTTCACTTTGAGTCATGGGAATTTGGGATTCCATGTGTTTGGTCCATAAGCAGCCTTTTGACCTTTTGGTTCATGAAAGGTTGGCCCATTTTGTGTCATTTGTCCAATTTGATCCGGAAGTCATGACCCCCACAAGGTGAATAGCCTGGTTGCAGGTCCTTGTTGGCCCATGTTTAAGTCATGGACCCTTGTCATTTTCCAGGTCCGGAAGGGCAATGGAGAGTCGTGTGTTATTCCTGGCTGGTCTTTGGTACGCTTCACCAGGTGTCTCTGTTTAGTGGCTTGCCGATGGGGTGTAAGGGCTGCGGATCGGGGCCACATCAGAAGGGTCCCCGTGCCAAGGTTTCACGAGCACCATGTCTCCTGCGAGTTCCGGTGGGCTGTTAGCAGTTTCCTTCTTTGATGAGTTTGATAGCGCTAATGCATGAGTGGCTATTGGGCTGGCTCTTGGTAAATTGTGCGGAATTACATGTGAAGAGAAGAGCTATTCTCAGGTGGAGTCAGGAATCATGTACAACATGCATTCTATCACGGCCTGACTCAAATGATAAGTTGAAAGACACAATGAGGTCTCTTCGAAACCCACCAACCAGTTTCTGCCGATGGTTCCAGCCCAAACCTTCGGGTAGCAAAAGGCCCTCCCCTTTTGGTTTGGTTTGTTCCCCATAAGGGGGCGAAATAGCCCTAATAACATAGCCTTCAATGCTTTTACCAACCCATCCCGCTTCAAGCTGCGGTCCTGCGATTGAAGCATCAGTGGATGGCACAGTATACATTCCACCTGTGCTCTTGAAGAGATATGGCAACTGTTCTATGAAGCGACAGTGTTCTGATGTGGCCAAGGTTGCGAAAGTGTTAACAGTAAACAGCTCTTTACATGGTAAGTCTCCATTTAGACTGAATTCGTTTGGTTTCCACACCAAAGCAAGTTTGGGAAGGTCAAGACAGCTTGTTTATGTCTTGCTTTGCAAAGAACCCTTAAAAGCACACCATTGAATGGGTCGATTGGTCGAGACGCCCGGGGACTCGGAACAAGCAGGCACGAGTTCCTTTGGGAGCCGGGACCGAGCAAGCCACAGGCTTGGTCAAACTTCCCATTTGGGAGGGTGCTTTCGTGGTTAAGTAGTTCTGACCGTGGCTCGTTTCCAGGCTTTTCACCCCTGCAATTCTTTTCCATCAAACTCTCCTTGGAATTGAGAGCCATTTGAACAGATGGAGTTTGGAAAGGGGAGGAAAGACTGATGGAAGAAAGGAAATCTGGATGCTTCCAAGCATGAAGCTGACGGGGCTTTGCAAGCCACTGTCCACTTGGTGGTTGTCAAAATTAAGGGCATCCTTTTTGGGGTCCCCCTTTAAATGGCAGCACAAGGCGGCACCAGTACCAAACGGGGGGGTACAAGTTCGACATCCCCCCCATTTCCATGGCGCAAAATGCATGTCCTTTGTTCCTCAAAACTGGCAAGATGATGCGCACTTGAGTCCAAATCAGCGGTTGCTTCATATCCGCATATTGAAAAGAATTGTTCAAAACACCTTGTCTCAAATTTGGGACTTCTCCAACGCAATTGGTTCGGGTTTCTTTTCAAGAACCACTGCAGCAACTGGCATTGAGTTGTGGATTTGTTTCAACGCCACCCCAAAATAGCGGGGCAAGCGTCGTGGAAAGCCCACAAAGAGATTTATCAAAAGCAGATGCTTCAAACAAGTACAGTGTACAGTTTTTCTTGGTTGGGTTCCATGCCCATTGTCAAGCGAGAAAAAAGCTAAAAACACGAGCACCATTTGCAGACCCGCTCGGGGTGCCATGAATGCAACACGCACGCGCAGGCAACCGCATGTGGGGCCAGAAGTTGCGGAAGGTCAAAGAGACGCCCTCGATCCTGGCGGGATGCCAAGCTTCAAGGTTTCAGGGTGCCCTTCCAAAAACTTGCAGGGGTCCATTGTTTGAACCCCAGACAGACTTAAACCCAGTTGATTTCCCGGTTTTGAGGCTACCTTGGGGTAGTCCAATGGGATCACATTTTGGTGTGTCTCTTTTTGAGGGTGCCCTTTCTGGGATGGTTTAGCCAGGAACCAGAGGAAAGTGATATTGTTGGTGGGTCCACTATTTTGAGACGAACTGACATGGAACATGAAAGAGTGGCCCCGAAAGTTGTTGGGTGCAACATGGAATGACCCACGGCACTAATGTATAGCGAGCTCACCGTTGATGGAGGACACTTAGGGGTGCTGTTTTGGGATGGCCTCGTGCTGTTAGGCAATTTGGTTCTCTGGGGGAAGCAACCTGTTTAGGCCATCGGCGCAGCTCCGTTAGGCTCAAGATTGCCATCCAGGGGACATGCAACCAGCTTGAAATCCCAACACTGCTCACTGCCCCAAACCTTCAGACCACCTTACTAAAGTGTCGAAAGAAGAGGCCCTTCCGTTTTGGCCCGTGTTCAGGGCCGAGCTTGTTTTGCGAAGCCCTTGTTTAGAGGTGTCCCACTACGGAGCATGGGTTAAGATTAGCAAGCCCGCCCCATCTTAAACATTCCGGATTCGGGGCTCTAAAGAGGTGAAGAACAAAGCTTTGTTGCCTTTTACAACCCCCAGTCGGTTCAACTACTTGAGAAAGCCCTGATCTCGTCTTGGACACCTGCCTGGCCCATTTTCCTTCACTAAGGACAACGAGTCGCAGAAGAACGCGATACAAGGGTCTTGCCGACGAAGTTTGCGGCGATTGTGCAGGGTCTAAGCATGTGTCCTGTGGCCAACAGACCTGCTTACTTAGGCTTAGTACGGATGGCACCCATGGTAAGGATGTTTTGAAAGGGAACATGAGCATGACCCACGGGTGTGCGTCGACAAAAACATCCCTCCCCTCCGAACAGTGAACCGGATTGGCAGCACAGCCTTACGCAACTGTTCCCCCCTTTTCATCAAACAGGAGAGGTTTGGTCAAAATTATCAGTAGTCTACGGTTCATTTGGGAGAAGCATGGGGGCGACTCACAAAATTTGTCCATGTACTTTGGAGGGAGTTGCGCGGGGGCGGGGGGGCAAGTAATTTCGAGATCAGGTGGTTCCCATTAGCTCGAGTTGAGGATCATTTGATTCAGCGTAGCAGCCAAACATGAGCCGCAATCAAAAGCAATTTTGACCGTGCATAGTGTCTGCCATGGGATGTGTGGCAGGCATGCTTGCTGGAAAGCCAAGCCGGGCGGATTATTGGGTCGTGAAAAACCTCGTTCACATGTCCTGCGAAACCCAGGGTATCCCTTGGCGAATTAGTCGTGGCGCAAGCAAACTTTGTGACAGAAGCGAGTATTTCCCGCAACCATAGGTTTCCTTTAAGGTGAGTTTGGTTTAGCATAGATGGCGCCGGTGTTACCCTGGTAGCCAATTTTCCAGTCCGATCGATCCCAAAACCATAGCAAGCGGCTCCCTGAATCCTAACGCCAGGCTGAAGCGTCTTCTGAGCTTTGTCCAGGCAATGATCGGCACGTATGTGTGTTGCGATGGATGTCGGGCCAATTATCGCCACCCATTTTTTCTGGGTTGCGACCCATTAAAAGGCCTGCGGACGACAATCTTTTGGGGGGACCCTTTTTTAGGTTCCTCTCACCGCCTCTCACCAAATTGAAGGTATGAATGGGGGGGGCCTGTCTGGGCCTTTGAGGCTTTGAAAATCGATGGGTTCCACTGTTTTCAGTTGGTTCCAGTTGTTCCGTGGGGCTCCCAGGTTGGTCGGGTTCTGTGGAGGTCTACGCAGGGCGCAAGCCGCAGTTGTTTCCTTCACGGGCAGGGCTTGTCAAGTGAGGCAACGAATAATTATCAGGGTTCCTCCTCTCGGCGTTGCCAAGAGTGCTTGTTTGTTTGTTGGCTTGCTTGCGTGCGTGTGCGATTGCTTGCGTTGCGCGTGTGAGTTCGTGATTGCTTGCTTGCGTGTGTGTGTGTGTGCGCGCCATTGTTTGCTTGCTTGCTGAAATGCTTGCGTGCGTGCGTGCGTGCGCGATTGCTTGAATGCGCGCGTGAGTTCGTGATTGCTTGCTTGCTTGCATGTGTGCGCGTGATTGTTTGCTTGCTTGCTTGCTTGCTTGCTTGCTTGCTTGCGTGCGTGCGTGCGTGTGCGTGCGTGCGTGCGTGCGTGCGCGTGCTTGCTTGCTTGCTTGCTTGCTTGCTTGCTTGCTTGCTTGCTTGCTTGCTTGCTTGCTTGCTTGCTTGCTGGCTCGCTCGCTCGCTCGCTCGCTCGCTCGCTCGCTCGCTCCCTCCCTCCCTCCCTCCCTTGCTTGCTTGCGCGCACGCGCGGGCGGGCGCGGGCGGGCGTACGTGCACGATTGCTTGCGTGCGTGCCTGAGTTCGTGTTTGCTTACTTGCGTGCGTGTGCACGCGTATTGTTTGCTTCCTTGCTTAATTGCTTGCTTGGGCGTGCGTGCGTGCGTGCGTGCAAGCGTGCGTGCGTGAATGCTTTCTTTCGTGCGTGTGTGCGCGTGATTGTTTGCTTGCTTGCTTGCTTGCTTGCATGTGTGCGTGTGATTGCTTGCTTGCTTGCTTGCTTGCTTGCTTGCTTGCTTGCTTGCTTGCTTGCTTGCTTGCTTGCTTGCTTGCTTGCTTGCTTGCTTGCTTGCTTGCTTGCTTGCTTGCTTGCTTGCTTGCTTGCTTGCTTGCTTGCGTGCGTGCGTGCGTGCGTGCGTGCGTGCGTGCGTGCGTGCGTGCGTGCGTGCGTGCGTGCGTGCGTGCGTGCGTGCGCGTGACTGTTTGCTTGCCTCATTTTTTTGCTTGCTTGCTGGCGTGCGGCGTGCGCGCGCGTGTGCGCGGGAGTGTGCGTACGTGCTCGATTGCTTGCGTGTGTGCGCGAGTTCGTGATTGCTTGCTTGCTTGCGTGCGTGCGTGCAAGCGTGCGTGCGTGCGTGCGTACGTGATTGCTTGCTGGCGCGTGTGCGCGTGATTGTTTGCTTGCTTGCTTGCTTGCTTGCGTGCGTGCGTGCGTGCGTGCGCTTGCGCGTGTGATTGCTTGCTGGCTGGCTGGCTGGCTGGCTTGCCTGCTTGTTTTGACACATACCCAGTCTTGCCATGCAAGAGTGTATCGTATAGTCAGTGCCGGAGGGAAGGATAGCGGCTTGCGTACCGGACAACAAAAAACCTCCATACCGCACTCACGGAGTTGGTTGCCCTTTCAAGTTGGTTTAAAAGGAAACCAAAAGGAAAACAGCCATTGCTGCGGTCCTCCCTATTCGTGGCAGTGTAAGAGTGTATGTAGTATCAACGTATAAGGTCAAAAACCAACGTTGCGTTTCTTAAACAAAGTCTTAATCAGGGACCCTATCAATGTCCAACAAAAGGTTCCCCATTGAAAATCACACCATGTGAGCTGTGTTTATGTTTGTTAGATGCCCACAAACCTTCCATTCGAATGTACAAAACGCCCGGCCCTGTGGCCCCTGTTTCCTTCTGCTGAGTTTCCGTGTGAAAATAGACGTTTAGAGAAAAGAAACATGATTTGTTTTGTTGACATTGGGATTTTGAGGAACTCTCGCAACGCAAGAGTGTTTTAGTTTGCGCCGATTTCGTCCACGAAGTTCCTCACATTTCAGATGCTCATGTCTGCTTTTGAGCTAGGCGCCCTTTTGGATGGCACCCATTTTCCATTTCGCTCCAAGGTGGCCCTTTTGACAGAAACCTAGATCCTCCATAGGAACTTATACAGGGTTCCCAGATGTTCCCCCTTTTTTCAAGCTCATGCAATACAATCGAACATGTGCATTTCTCCCCCCCTTCGAACCGTTCTTCTTGGGCCCTGCACCATCCTCCAGGCAACCGAAGCATGGAGGAGCAGCCAATGAGCGATGGAAAACGCATCACAAAAAGACGCCTGCCTTGTGTGTCTCATGGTCAAAAGACCCTCTTACTTGGGGTTAATATGGATGGCCATCCACCTGGTAGTAAGGATCCTTAATCACCATTACAATGGTTCGGGGAACCATAGGCCATACAAGGAGGTTTGACCATGGCTCGCATGCAAAAAGGTTCAGCAAAGGATTTGGACCCCAAAAAGATGGCATTCGAATTCCCCCTGCTGGTTTCCCTTTAAACCAACCTGAGAAGAAGGATTCCGAGCCTCAAGCAATAAAACAGGACATACCCAGTTCTTTGCTGGCCGCATTGGTTTGCTTTGAGGAGAACAAGTGATTTTATGAGGGTTTCTTCACACGATGCTGCAGTGGAACGGCTTTTTATGTTGAGTAATTATTTGGAACCCTACACATGTCGAAGCAGGACGTTGCAGCCTGTCACGTCACGCGTGTCTTTGATGGGCTCGAAGAATTCCAAGTCATTTGAGAACGTACTTGACATTCCACGATTCTTTGCTTCCGCGCACGCATTCGCAATGCCACCACGCAAGCGGCCCAGCGCCGCGATGCCGAGCTCGGCCAAGCGGCCCGCGGCCAAGCTGCTCGCGGCCAAGCGGCCCGCGGCCAAGGGAGCAGCAAAGTTTCCGATTACGTGGACAGACTGGCCAGGTGAGGGCGATGGATATTTGAAAGGGGGGGTGCAAGCCCGCTACGTGGACCAGGAAGCAGAGAGCTTGGACCGGACGAAGTTAGAAGAGACCCTGAAGGAGTTGGAAAGCGCAGTGGATGGGGCGGAATGGAGGGAAGATGAGAATGGCTTAACGGCGCCGGGTGGATTTGAGATGAGGTGTTCTATTGGGGTCGAGGATCAAGAAGATTATGTGCCTTCTCTGAGCTGGTGTGTTTTGGAATGAGTCAGTAAGGGGTAAAGCAAAGGTGTCCGTTATATTCAATAGAAAGGGGGTACTAAAGCAAAGGTGCCGTTTTTTCCGCTCGAATGATTTGGAGGTGATTTGCCATGCCCATGATTGCCAAATTTGCTTGGGCAGGTAATTGCCATACAGACCCCGGAACACTCTCTGGTGGTTGGCAACCTGGGGTGCCATCCCTTTGTGGAGTTGGAGTGGATGTGGTTTGGCAACTCTGACGGCTCTACCTCCATCCCAGTGCCGGACCAGGACATCAGCAAAGATGCCAAGCAGCTTTGCAAAAGAGCGATTGAGGACGTGAATACCTTTATCTTTCATCAAGAACACTGAGGCACAGAAGACTGGCTACAAATTTCTTCAGGGAGATCTCCACCGAGAGCGGATTCCGTGCGACATCCATTTAGGAGTGAAGTCCGGCGTGGTAGAGCTTGGCTGCGGGTGGAAGCCTCCAGGATCTCCCCTCATCGAAATCTGGGGAAGATTCATTTGAAACGTAGTAAAGAATGGGTTCCCAAAAATCCAAGGCCCTTTTAGTAGCAATTTAGGGGGAAGTATGTGACACACACATTTTTCACGTCGACGTGGTGAACTTCCTGCGCGGATCACATCACCGCAGGTGATCCAGCAGACTGACCCAGAGGTGTTTCGCGGTGTGATGCGTATCCTGAGGCTTGATCCAAGACTGCCAAACCATGGCAAGAGCTATTTATTAAAACCAGGTAAACTGAATTGCCATTAGAGCCGACGAAGCCGGTTGGAGGACATTTCAGAGAATATAAGAATTAAATAGAATTAAGGTTTTTCGCTTTTGTTTTTTTCAATCTCGCTTGTTCTCTTGATTTTTCTCTTAGCCTTCTACGGCGCACTTTAGGCCTTGCTATTGGAAACAATGAGCCCCTAGGAAAAGCCTCTTTGCCCGGCAACCCCAAAACATTACGTTACATGATGTCACCCCCTGGCCCACACTAGCATTTACATCACATAACATGATCCCGTCCTTGATTCGTCCTTGATTCTGGCCACTATGTCCGGGACCCCCTATTACGTGACGTTTCCCTATTACATTGACGTCTAGTGACCCTGCGATCTATAAGGCTAGTGGGATTTTGGTTAGGGCTAGGCATGCCAGCAAAGACATTGGGTGGTGTGTTGGGGTTTGACAGGTGCAGGTTGGAAGTTGAGAGATTCGTTGAAAGGAGGTAAATTTGTCGTAATTGTAGGAATAATGCTATTGGCTTGCATTAGCGAACCCCAGCATTGTTGCTATAGAGGAGTGGCAGAGTGCAAGCCACGTTTGACGGAGTATTCTGAAGAATTGTTAAGTGTTTTTTCTTTAAACCTTTGTTATTTCGAAGCCCCTAGTAGGAGAATTTTGTTGGTTTGCTGCTATAATTATTTTATATAATTGGATAGGAAAATAGGAAATATACATAATTTATTTTGTTTTACGAATATTGTTTTTAATTATTAATCATTATAATTACTTATTTGTATCATTTAATTCAAACTAATAATATAGTTTGATGATAATATTTATATTTAATTAATATATATTATGTTTAGTTTAAGCTAAATTTGAATTAAAAACAATTATTGATTATAAGATAATACATTTTAAATAGTTATATATATAAATTTAATACATTTAATTAACCATGTTAATTATGTTAAATATATACATTATAAACTTAATGTATATTTACTATATTATTATTATATATATAATTATTATATATATATATTAAAATAAAAAAAAATATATTAAAATATATATAATTTAAAAAATGAATAAATAATATTAATTATATATAATTATTAATTATTTATATCATTGTTAAGATTAAATGAAATAAATAAATTATTGATATGTTTAATAAACATAAAATAAAAAGTAATATGTATAATTAAGTAAATATTAAATTAAGTTAATAACTTTAAATAAAAGAACAAACACATTATATATATATAATTTTTATTTTGTTTACATTAAATGGTATATTTTTATAAATATTACTCATTGTTTTATTAATAATGGTTTTATAAATCTATAATTGTATATATGTATTGTTTAAATTTACTCTATAAAACGAAACCGTGAAACTTGCTCGTCGCATTTGCGCGCGTTTTCCCGGACTGCTTTTCCGAAAAATCCCGGATATTTCGGAAAATTGGTCCGGGCTGCCCCTGGAAGATGTAACCGCTTCATATTTCCTACGGACCGCTTACCCAAATCTGTCCGGGCTACCCCGGCCATAATCCGGAAGATGCAGTGGCTTCATTTTTTGTAGGGACCAATTTCCCGAAATATTCCAGATATTTCGGGAAAATCGCAGCCATCCACCATTTTCTCGAAATATTCCGAATATTTTTGGAACCGGCTTCCCGAAATATTCCAAATATTTCGGGAAATGCTGTCGTCGAAATATCCGGAATCTTTCGGAAAAATGGTCTGGAGTGCAATTATCGAAATATCCGGGATATTTCGGAAAAATGGTCCGGGCTTTGAACGAAACTGTTGTGTCTTCCAGATAAAGAGTCGGGGCCTATATCTGCCTGTCCGTAGCAATGTTGGCTGAAATCTTGGCCCAATACTCGTCGCATGCGAAAAGCATGCTGCCGTTCTCCGAACACAGGGCGCGAGACGCACTGAGGGCCGGGCTGGTCGCGATAAGGTCACGCCAAAGAGTCAGTGAAAGGCGGTCGCCTGAGCAAGGTGAGAACGGATTTGCTGGCTGTTGGCCTCAAAAGATCCATCCACACACGCAGTTGTTGTAAGCGCAAGCGAAAACGCGATCGACCAGAAAATTCCTGGGTACAAGCAAAGCCGAACTGATTTCGCCCAAAGCATTGGGAAAAACACAACTGGTCGCAACAATCGGCCGCGGCTCACAGTTGGTGCCTGAGTTGCCGAAAATGTCTTGCCGGTCGGGCTCTATAAGATTTGCTCTGTTCTTGGCACATCCACCACAGCCTGGACCTCGGCCCCTGAGAGCTCGGCCCTTTTTTGGCACCCGCCTCAACTTACCCCTAATTGCTGGTTTGCCAGCGGCCGCGTGCAACTGGGGCATGCGCAGCCGAGAGCTCGCACGCGAGTTCTTGCAGCCCGACTGCGTCACGGCTCTCGGGCTCGGAGTCGGACGCGTGCACGTGCGCAGGCGAAGTCTGTGGCATGTCGACGTCAGAATCCGGCGCGCTGCGCGCCGGAGGTGTGTCTCTTTTCGTCTCTGTCTCTCTATCGGTGTCTTTCTCTGTCTCTCTTTGTCTGGTCTCTCTGTCTCTGGTATCTGTTTCTTTGTCTGTCTGTCTGTTTGTCTGTCTGTGTCTGTGTCTGTGTCTGTGTCTGTGTCTGTATCTGTGTCTGTGTGTCTGTGTCTGTGTGTCTGTGTCTGTGTGTCTGTGTGTTTGTGTCTACGTGTCTGTGTTTGTGTTTGTGTTTGTCTTTGTGTCTGTGTTTGCGTTTGTCTTTGTATCTGTGTTTGTCTTTGTCTCTTGTGTTGTCTCTGTCTTTGTCTCTGTCTTTGTGTTTGTTTGTGTTTGTTTGTGTTTGTGTTTTTAGTTTGTTTGTTTGTCGATTTATTGAATTGTTTGAAGTTAATATAGGTTAAGTTTTATGAATTTATAAACTATATTTAATTTTACATAAAACATTTTGTGTAATTGATTTTCAGAAATTTTATTATATTGTTATTTTACATAATAGTACATATTTTTTAATTAAATTAAATCAAATTAAAAAAAGAAATTAATAAATATATAAATATATTTTATAATATAATGAATAATTCAATCTAAATTTGTAAATCAAATATTCGAAGACACTAATAATAAAACAAAATCGGGAAATAAAATCTCGTCCATCCAGAACCTAGCGCCACTTTAGGCACGGAAATTATATTACCCCTAGCCAAACCAAACACACAAAAAAAAACAAAAAATCTCGATCTAAAAAACATAAATTCCCTATAACTCAAGAAATAAATAATTCCTTCGAATATCTACAAAATCACCTATATTTTATACCTAAATACTTATTATATATGTTATTTAAACCTAAAACAAATAATAATCTATTTAGATTAATTATACAAATTTAATTTAAATATCAATTTTTCAATTTTTATTTAATATATATATATTTATACTATATAACTTTATTATATTATTTTCAATTCAACATATTCATTTATCCAATATTTACCTAAATATATTATTAATTCCTAAAAATTATATATATCCATATAATTCTAATAAATTAAGAATTTTCATCCTAAAATAATATGTTTTAAATCTAAGCCCTAAAATCATAAACCATATCTTAACCTAAACCCTAAGCCTTAACCCTAAAACCAGAAGCCACAAGCACCTAAAAACAGCAGCTGCATTGTTGTGCCAACCTATCAACTCGAAACGTATCTTTCCGATCAAGAAAGCATGTGTTAATAAACCCCGAGAAATATATATTTATATATACAAATATTTTTATATATTATGGAGATCTTAAGGGGGGGGTGTAAGAGTTAGACCAGACCTTGCCCATCTTTTTTCTATAAAAAAACCCAGGGTCCCCCCCGCACTTTTAGCAACATTTTCAAACAGCACCTCAAACAGCACATTTTCAAAAATCAACATTTTAAAGCAGGTAATTTCCTAGTAAGTTCATCCATATTTTAAAATATAAATTTTGAAGTAAACTTTACAAAAAATAAATTTTGCAAAATTTTCAAAAAGTATAAATTTTAAAAAATAAATTTTAAAAAATAAATTTTCCAAAATATAATTTTACAAAATATTCAATATATTTTCCAAAAATTATGATAAATTATTATACAATAAATTTTATTACACATTTTGTAGACATATTATGGGCAAGGTCTGGTTCATTCGTTTTTGAGGGGACAATGTTCATTTTTAGGTCTTTTTATTATTTTATCACATGTTGTTTCATTATAACTATTATTTCCTATTTTTGTTCTGAACAATCCCATTATTCCAATTGCATGTATTATTGTATATCTAAGTTCGTTAATTCTATACTCATAATTTAAAAATTCATTTACAAAATCAAAATCATTATCGATCAATACATCATATTTTAAACGTTTAATATTAAAAGACATATTGTAGAATTTGTTTACCATACAAAAATACTTAAAAATGAATTCATTATTAGATCCTTCGTCGTCACATTCTAATAAACTATCAAACCCTTCTATAATTAAGAAATTATTCATTTCAATAAACACATATTTCTAAATCATCATCAAGAGTTTCATTATTTATAACATTAATATCTGTATTATTTATATTATTATTTTTTATAATTCTATTGTAATTATTGCATATCATGTATTGACAAATATTATTACAAACGCCATTTGTAAAACCCCGTTCAATTGGTAATTTTAGCATCTCAGAGTCTTCACATTTATAACTCATAAATTTTGTTTTCATTTTTTTTAACATCAATATCATTACGGACTGTATCACTCATCACACTATATAATAGTATTATAAAGGATGTCTTTAAAT